GACCTGTGCTCCATCCGTTAAAAAGTTGAACTTAATTCGCCGTGCCAAGGCGAAAGCCCCATTTTGAAAGCTACCTGCGACTCATCCGTGTAACTGTTGGGATCTGTAAGCGTCGGCATCACAACTTGTGAGAACGTCTCAGGCGAAACGTCCGGCCCGCTCTAACGACACGTCTGGTGGTGCGACAGGGAGGAGTGATCTATACAGAAGGGGGGTGATGATGATGGTAATGATGATGCAGATGATGAAGACGATGTCGATGATGATGACGATGACGATGACGATGATGATGCTGATTCTGATGGTGATGGCAATGACAATGGCGATGACGATTGTGATGATGCTATACTGATGATGATGATTCTGATGCTGATGATGATGGTGATGATGATGACGATGATGTTGATGCTGCTGTTGATGCCACTGATGATTATGATGATGAGCAGGAGGATGATGATAATAAGCAGACGAGGAGGAGCAGGAGGAGAAACATGATGATAATGACGATGACGATAATGATTCTGATGATGATGCTAGTAACAGTAGTTGTGATGCCGATGGTGATTTGATGAAGATGATGATGATGTGGATGATGTGGATGATGCTGATGCTGTTGATGAAAATGATGCTGCTGATGCTGATAATGATGATGACGCTAATGCCCATGATGATGCTGATGATGAGGATGAGGATGATGCTGATGGTAATGACGATTACGATGATGATGGTGATGATGACGATGATAACGATGGCGATGCCGATGACGATAATGATGATGATGATGCTGTTGATGATGATGCTGTGATGATGATGGTGGTGGTGGTAATTATGATGATGATGGATGATGATGATGGTGATGATGATGATGCTGCTGATGATGCTGCTGATGATGATGTTCGGATGACGATGATGATGATGATGATGATGATGATGATGATGATGATGATGATGATGATTCTGATGATGATGATGATGATGATGATGATGATGATGATGATGATGATGATGATGATGATGATGATGATGGTGACGATGATGATTATGATGATGATGATGATGATGATGATGATGGTGATGGTGGTGGTGGTGGCGGTGGCGGTGGTGGTGGTGGTGATGGCCGGCAGGACGTTTAGGAGGAGATGGTGCCAACAGCTGTCGCCCAGCGCTGCCGCTGACATGCGAAAACGTTGTCTTTTGAGCCGCTCCGCTCTGCCAGCGTCTTGGTCGAAATGAGACCCCAGGGATCAGGGTCTGCCCCGTCGGCCCGCCTCCGCCTTTTCGAATCCATTCTCGGTCCCTCCAGTGCCTCGGTACTCCTCCCCCTCCACGAGCTGCCCTCCCTCCTCCGATCTTTCCCTCCCGGACTCGCTCGCGGGCAGGCAGACCCGCTCGGATGCGGGCCTACTCCAGACACCTTCCCACCCTCTCTCCTTGCCTCTTCTCTAGTCCCTCGTCCTGCAACTGTCGTCCCTCCCCCCTCGCCCCCTCCCCCCCAGAGAGATCCGATGTAATGTTTTTTGTGTACGACCTGTTCCTCGGGACCGGTTCTTCATCCTGAGTAATTTTTTTGACGGTCCCGGGGCCCTGCGAGGGCCCACAGAGGCCGAAAACGACGAAACGCCTGCGCATTGACTCGTTCGCGTTGGAGGTCCAGGCCCTTCGCCCTCTTCCGCCGCCCGCTGCAGTCGGCGCCGGCTCCATGAGCTGGCGCCGCCGGGGCCGCGCCCCCGGCGGCCAGTGCGCCGCCGCGCCGCGCCGCCCGCGATGGTCGCGGGCCCGCGCGAGCGGTGCATGGGCGCTCTGGCCAGGCCGCTGCTCGACGTCGGCGAGGGCGCCGACTCTGGCGCCGGGCGCCAGCGCGTTGCGGGCCGCGCGGGGCAGATGCTGCGGGCGTCGAGCGCGGCGTCGAGCGCGGCACCGCTGCTGGACGTGGAGGATGAGGCAAGGAAAAGCCATCCCAGCGCCCAAGAAGGGCGTTTGCTAAACAGCCCTGGGCGTTTAAGAGCCCGGCCCCGATCCTTTCCTGCGTTTACTGCATGGCTTCGCTTGTGAGGATCTCAGGGCCCTCCACGTCCAGCAGCGGCGCCGAGTGCGGTGCCGCTTCTGGACGTCCAGGACCCTGAGATCCGGACGTTGCATTTTTCACAACGCTTTCATTTTCGCCCGGTTTGGGGCCACGAGGTCCTCACAGGTCGACGGGTCTCGAGAAGTGTCGCAGAAAGATGGCGTCTATGGGGCTCCAGTCGTGATCGCGAAGGCCTAGCGGCCAGTGCCGCCAACCCTGAAGGGGGACGACGACAACGACGATGACGGCGACGACGGCGACGGCGACGTCGACGACGCGGCCTCGACGACGACGACGACGACGACGGCGGCGGCGGCGTCGACGACGACGACGACGACGAGGACGACGACGACGGCGGCGGCGGCGGCGGCGACGACGACGCTGACGCTCTGGAGCCAGAAGCTTCTACCAGGGAGGGGTGCCCCCCCCCCCACGGTGGGGTGTCACAACCCCCCGGGACCCGCCGCCCCGCGGTGGGGTGTCCCGCGCCCCCGGTGCCCCCCCCCCGCGGTGGGGTGTCACAACCCCCCGGGGACCCGCCGCCCCCCCCCCACCTGGGACACGTGAGTGTCCGCGATGCGGCAACACCTCCCGCACTGTCCGGAGGAGGGCGGGGACTCGGAGGAGGGCGGGCCTCGCTGTTGTACATGTTTTGGTTGGGGTAGGGAGGGCAGCGCCTCGTTTTTTTTTTTTTTTTTTTTTTTTTTTTTTTTTTTTTTTTTTTTTTTTTTTTTTTTTTTTTTTTGTTTTTTGTAGTTGTTTTATTGTTGTTTTATGTATCTATATATATGTATTATATACAATATATATATAATACATATACATATACATATATACATATACATATACATATACATATATACATATACACACATACACATATATATATATATATATATATATATATATATATCATTAATCTTTCTCGAGGAGGGCGGCGCCTCGGGGCTGGCGCGCGCCAGCGCGCGCGCCGTGCCGGCGCGCGCCGGCGCGCGCGCGCCGCCCGAGGAGGGCGGGGTCGCGGGCGAGCCCCGAGGGCCGAGGGCTCCGCCGCTGCCCAGCCGGGGAGAGGGCGCGAATCGGCACGAGCAGAGTGGGCCGGACGGAGGGGTAGGATTCAGAGCGTGAATTACCTACCCCGCTTTCGCTTCCAGGCAAAACCAAGCCATACCACGCGCCTCCTCGTCAAGCGGCCTGACCAGTACAGGCTGCAATTTGGCATCGTTTGGTATCTCTTGGAAGCGAGGGTGGTCAAAAGCGAGGTAGGTTTTTCTTTTCCCCCTAAGGATGGGGGAGAGGGGGGGGGGTACGAAATCTGCTGCATGCAGCTGGTTTCGGTCCCGTCGCCGGGCCCTGCCTCGACACTTGGGCGCCTCCCGCCGCCAAGGGGGCGCCATGAAAACCAGCTACGTGAGCTGGTTCTCTACCCTACCCTTTGCTGTCCTACCCTTTCGCCCCCCCCGGGCATAGCAGGAAGCTGGATATACATGACGCGGCCGGCCTGGGCGGGAGCTGGATACACGTGTGGCCGGATGTCTTTCTGGCGCTCGTCCTTGCTGTGGACGTGTCGGCTAGGCTTTCGCATGTGTATCCAGCGCGTGGCTTCCAGATGTTGCACATGTGGATCCAGCCATGTGTGTTTATGGCTTCCTTGGAGTATGCGGGTATGCGGAGGACTGTAGTGTGCTTCAGACCCCTCAGGGCATGAAACACTCATCACGGAAGGTTATCCTCTATTTTCGGCCTCTCGGGGCCCTCACCGGGCCCGGGGCCGTAACAAAAACATTCAGGATGAAAAATCGGTCTCGGGCAATGGGTCGAGACCTCTGGGGACCGACGTTACGAAACATTCATAACAGTGGCACGAGCACAACCAGAGGCCGATATGGGCGCGGGCCGACATTTCGGCAGATCTTCACCACGTTTGGGGTTCGACCCCCTATGCGGCAGTTCAATCTCCCACGGTCGGTCGTGGTGCGGCATTTCTTCGGAGACGACGTCGCTGTTTGAAGCCTGGGCCGCAGGTTATGCAGCCACCTGCCATCAACCGTACCGGCCATTTCTGTTTGGGGTGCAGTGGTCCAGCGGCGGGCGAGGGGGGGAAGTGAGAAGAAGACGGCCTTCTCCGAAGGCGACGGGGCTTCTCAGAAGCCCGCCGGACTTCTGAGATGTCTTCTGTGTCTTCGGGGAAGGCTTATACATCTTCTCAGAAGGCTGGGGGACTTCCGTTCCTTCCGAGAAGGCCTTCTCCTTCTCACTTCCCCCCCCTCGCCCGCCGCCGAGTGTTCGGCATCTTGGGGAACGCGCCGACTTCGGCCAGACCTGGGGTCCCGGAGAGCCCCCGCGCCCTCATGCTGCCCGCCCTCGCCAACGGCGAGCCGCGCCGACGTCGAGCAGCCAGGCCCGCGCACAGCTGTGTGTGCGCGCACGCGGCCAGCTTCCGCTGGCCTGCGCTCGAGCGCGCCCGCTCGTGCGCGCGGGTCCGCGGAGGGCGCACGCGTGCACGGACCTCTGCTCGCTCACGTGCAGCTCTCTGGAGCTCCGCGCGGACTTACTCCTCGGGTCGGCGCGCTTCGAGCGCGCCCCCCCGAGCGCGCCTTCCCAGCTCCGCCCGGGGGAGCCCAGCACCAGCCGCCCAAGAAATCCGCGCGGCACTCCGAATAATCGTTCGGATTCGGGCTAATAGTTCGGTCGTGCAATCGTTCGTGCGGGATACGCACGTCGTACAACATCAGCACGTGGCTGCCACGCGCCATGCGCCACAGGATGAACTTTTGCATATCTTATGGCGACCCCACTACGAGAGACCCCCTTGGCCCAGAACCGAATCGTGTCCATGCTGATTCTCCCTCTTCTGCATCTGGCCCGCGGGCACAGAGCGCGTGCCGGCGCGCGGCACCGGCCCTGGGCCGCTGCGCGGCGCCGCCTCTGGGCACCTGGAGGCTGCCGCGGGCGGCGAACGCCTCCACGTCCGTGCCCTCGGGGTCTGGTTGCCAGGGTGCGGCCCCACGGATGCGCGATCCTGTGGGTGCGCTGCGCGCGGGGCATCCGCGCAGTGCTGCCCCGCATCCATGGGGTCGCGGCCGAGGAGTCCAGACCAAGAGGCGCAGAGGAGAAGAACCTGCCGACACCGACGCATCCTCCGCAGACCCTGGGCCCCAGCACGGTGCACAGGCCCTCCCGGTCGCCGGGAGTCGCAAACGCTCAAACAGAATTTTCGACGCTCCGCATAGGATTTCTTGAGTCGGCGCTGGGCTTCACTGGCGGCGCCTCCAGCGCCGCCCCGGGCGCGCTCCGCACGCCAGAGAGGGGGTCCAGCGCCGATGCGAGAAGTCTGTGCGGGCCTCCGAAAGTTTGTGTGCATGCCGCTTTTCCCCGAGTATGCTCCAACATAAGGGGTTTTCACCTGGCATGAAGCATTGCGTTATTCACCACCCACCAAACCACCCCAACCCAACCCGAAGGCTCGGATTTACCCTCCATTTCTAGTGGGGGGGGTCTGGGAACATCGAAAAAACACATATGGAGCCCATACCCCCCCCCAACCCGAAATTCGGGTCTTCGGGTTGGGTTGGGGTGGTCTGGTAGGTAGTCAGTTATCGGAGACCTCTGCCGGCTTTGCTGATGTGGTTGCTGCTCATGTCGTCGTTGCTGCTCACGTGGTTGCAATGTTGCTCTTTCTGTTGTTGTTGCTACTTTGCTGATGAGGGTTTGTATTGTTAATGGTTGGCTATGGTTCTGCTTTTATGGTTAATGGGCTGAGCACATTGGCCCTCGAGAAGTGGCGACCCTCACAGGGATGGTGCCTCCCCTGGTGGGCCAGAGGCCTCTGCCGGCCCTGTGGACCAGCTGTGAGCCAAGCGCCTATACCTTCGAAAAGTGGCGACCCTCACGAGGATGGCGCCCCTCCTGGTGGGTCAGAGGCCTCTGCCAGCTTTGCGGGCCAGCTGTGGGCTGGACGCCTTGGCTTTCAAAAAGTGGCGACCCTCACGAGGGCTGGCTCTGTGGGCCGGGCGCCGTGGCTTTCGAGGCATACATGTATCTGGGGTCGTCGTTGGGGTAATTTGTTCCTCCACAGCGGTCATGCGCACCATCCCAGGGCCCAGGACGTTCCTGGCCAGGGGTGGTGTGGGGGGGACATCATGGCGGGGGAAATTATATCTCCCCAGATTTCACGGCGCCTTTTCTTATTCCAATGCGTCCTCTGTCCCCCACTGGGCTGCGCACATGCCTCAGGTCCTGATTTGCGACCCCCCCTCTTTGATACCCCCCTCTTGGCCGCCCCCGAAGCGGTATCGGTGTCTTCTTCTGTCTGCCCCCCCCCCCCCCCCGAGGGACGCGCCGCACGGGGCGGGCGCTCGGAGTTTCAGCGCTGGCGCTGCCTTCTCAACCCGACCGAGGCTCAGAACAGCAGCAGCGTTGAGCCATGGGCCAAGCTGACTGTAAAAGTGGAGGAGGCGGTGGGTCTCCTCAGTGCAGACACCAATGGGTTGTCGGACCCATTCGTCGTGCTGTCGATGAACGGCCCTGCGATCCCGGAATTGAGGACGCATGTGATTAGTCGCACGCTGGCTCCGAAGTGGCGTGAGGTGTTCACTCTGGACGTCTACTACCCGCTGTCTACGCTGACCCTTCAGGTCATGGACGCAGACGCCTTGGATTCAGACGACCTCATCGGGTTCCTGGACCTCCAGCTGTCAAGACTGTCGCTGAGTGGTAGCGTCGAGGGGTGGTTCGAGCTGCGCCATCCCGAGGAGTTCAGTGACACCCTCAAGGCGCGCATGCGCGTCCAAGAGCTAAAAAGCAAGGACGCCGGCCGCATCCACTTGAAGCTCACGCTGCACGCGGAGGGAGGCGGTATGGACGAGTTCTTTGCGGCGTGCATGGAGTGGCCCTGCGCCGGTCACGGCTACGAGCACTACGACCTCGGTAAGCTCTTTGCCTCCCTGATGAGGGCGAGCTCGCTGCTGCTGAAGCTCCTGGTGCCCCTGCTGCGGGTGAAGTCTTGGGCGTTCAGGCACTCTACGCTCGTGGCCCTGGCCCTCATCCTGCTCATCTGGGAGCCCGTGCTGGTGCTGCCCGCACTGGCGCTCTTGGCAGGGCTCGTGCTGGCGCGGGACGAGTTCTGGGAGGCCGAGGCGGGCGCGGCCGACGTCGGCCACGAGGACACAAAGCGGTCGGAGACCACCGTCTCGCTGGACAGCGAGGGCTGCCCGAAGAGGCCCGCCCGCGGGGTACCGCTCTGCGGGCGCGCGCTGCCGAAGAGGTTCGCCCGCAGACGGTCGGTCGACAGTAGCCCGCCGACGGCGGCCGCCGCCCAGAGCTCGTCGAGGAGAGCCGCCTCCCAGAGCCCGTCGGGCAGCACAGCCGCCCAGAGCCCGTCGGGCAGCCCCGAGCGGGAGAACGCGACGGTGAGGAGAGCGGCGTGGATGATGCAGAAGCTGGTGCCGGGCTCGAAGCGCATATATGTGCGCATGGCGCAGTCCCTCACCGATCTGCTGATCCGTCTCCTGGTGCTTGTCCACGGGATGCTGAACACGCGGCGCCGCGGCCTCAGCAAGGCCTGTTTCGCAGCTGCGCCAGCGCTTCTGGTTCTCGGCAGGTGGCAGCTGTTCCTCGTGAAAGTGTGTCTTACGATGGCGGTGATCGTCATCTTTTTCCCACTCACCACGCCGGGAAGGATCTGGAAAACTGCTGTCTACTACATGGCAAAGAGGAACAGGCTGCACGAGGACCACCATCTGTTGGAGAGAGACGACTGCAACTTTCTGCACGTCGTGCCACCGAGGAAGAGTGTGGGACGGGTGCACGTACTGCGGCCAAACCGCCTGCTGAAGCCCACGAGGTGCTTCATGTGCGGCCAGCTGACGGCCAGGGGCCTCTCGGCGGGCGTGCCCCTGCGCTGCGAGATTTGCCGTGTGGTCGTCTGCGCTGGCTGCAGCGGAGACCTCCGCGACGACTGCCGTGGCTTCATGCGGCGCAAGCCGTCGTCGCACCACGTCAGCCTGTGGTAGCAAATCATGGGAGCCTTGTGTGCCCTCGTAGCTCCGCTTTTCGAGTGCACCAGCGTCGGTCAGCGTCGGTCATCGATGAGACAGCGCTGGGTTAGCGTCGACTAGCGCCAGTGAGCGTCGATTTAGTGACTGTGTCGATTAGCGTCGATCAGCGTCGATTCGCAAGAGCCATTCAGATGGTATGGTAAGCTCCAACGTCAGCCTGTGAAGGTGTGGGCTGGACCACGGGCCCCGACGCATGGCGCTGCTCTGCATCAGGGGACACACATTGACATAAGCCTAAACTTTCGGAGGTCCGCGCGGCGCCGGAGCCCCCTGGCGGCGCCTCCGGCGCCGCCCCTGGCACGATCCGCGCGCCAGGGAGGGGAGAGCATGCTGCTTCGCATGATTTTGATGCCAATGAGTGGAGAATGTGCCAGGCTGGCCAGGTCCATCCTGAACCCACCAGCTGGCCAAGCCAGGAGGGCGTGGCGTATACACCGCTGCTGGGTTCAGAATGGGCTTGACCAGGGAGCAGTGGCTATGTACAGATCCCGTCGCCCTGATGTGTTGGATCAGTCAGTGGACCAGTCTTGCGTGCTGAAGCTTCGGGGGCGAAGAACGGTATAAAATCAGCTTTTCCGCCGTCGGGGACGCCTGCCCCCCAGGCGACTGGAAAGTTTATACCCCTACGTGGCATTGTAGGGGTATAAACATTGCAGCCACCCAGGGGGCACGTGCCCCCGACTGCGGAGCAAATACTTTGTACCGTTCTTCGATCCCTGAGAAGCACCGATCCAAAACATCCGCGCGGACCTCCGATTTTTTGGTTCATGGCAGTGTTTTGGCCCCTGCTGCAGGGCGGCGCGGGCCACCTCGGGGCCGCCGCTGCCCCTCTCCGCCCCCCCGCGCTGGGCCAGCGGGGGCTGGACTCGGAGTCCGAGCGGAGCGGGCAAGGGTAGCATCGACTGCACGTGAGAGTGACCCTTCGCCAGAGTGACCTCTGGGTGCGGGCCCACTGGGGTCCCCCGATCGCCGAACGCGGTGCGATGGTGGCGTGTTGCGCGCTTCTGTTGGGTCTCCCCGCGGCCTCCAAGAAGCCGCGCACCAAAGGTCACTCACTCGATAGCAGCAAGTTTCGAGCAGGGGATAGAATTGATTTACCCCCCTATCCGTGTTTTCCAACGAATCTGCGAACAAGCACACATGTATATAATGCTCTGTAGATCTCTGGAGCATTCTATGTTTTTCGCTGGTAGGTTCGGCGTGAGAATAAACATTTGGGCAAGTCAGCTCTGCAGCCAATCCCCTACCTGGAAGTTCGTGTGCTGCCAGATGTGTCCCAGGGTCAAGGGGCCTTCGGGATTTCCAGGGGGCTCCCCGCGGCCTCCAGAGCACCCCTCACCCAAAGATCCGACGCTCCGACAAAATTGGGGCGGTTGGTTTTGGGCCGTTTTCGGCCTCCAGGGGTCCTCGCCGGGCCTCGGGACCGCCAAAACAACAACTCAGGACGAAAAGCCAGCCTTTGGGAAGTGGTCCAGACCTCCAGGGCCCTCGCATCGAAAGAGTTGGACCAGATGGATGTCCGGGCACGAGGCTCAGAGGGCGCCGCAGGTCAGAGATTTGCGGCGCCCGCATGCCGAGCTGCCGGCCGAGCCGACGCGGCCCGATGCTTGCACAGCGAGAGCTGCGTCTGCTGGCGCGGCCGACAGGAGGCTCGGGCGGGTGGCATAATGGGGGGGTGGCGGATTGCAAAAAAGGATTGCAAAAAAGGATTGCAAAAAAAGCAAGGATTGCAAACAAACCGAAGGATTGCAAAAAAGGATTGCAAAACAAAACCCTGGATTGCAAAAAAAAACCCTGGATTGCAATCCTTCGTTCGCCTGGGGGGGTGAAGTGCAGGGCTCGAAAGGGGCCCTGCAGACCCGCTTTTAGGCCCCTGCTGGCTCCAAAAGGGTCTTCCAGAAGGGCCCCTTAGGGCCCTTTTGGGCCCGCTTGTGGGCTCTTCAGGCCCGCTTGTGGGCCCAAAAGTGAGAGCTCTGAAAGGGGCCCTTCAGACCCGCTTTTGGGCCCCTGCTGACTCCAAAAGGGGCTTCCAGAAGGGCCCCCCTTAGGGCCCGTTCCTGCACTTTCCATGGAGGCCACCCCCCCATTGCCACCCGCCCGACCGGCGCGGGCTGCGTCTCCTGGCGAGGCCGATCCGATTCGGCTCCGACTCCGTGCCGATGCAGGCAGAGCCGACGCGCATCCCCATTCAGTCCGACTTCCCGATTCGATGCTGACTGATCCTTCCCTTCTTCGCCTCCCCGGCGCTGTGAACAAGTCGTGCCCGACCTCGTGCGGATACTTCCCGCCCTCGGGGGGCGTCAAGGTATCCACGTCCGACGCTCCGCGAGATCCCCTGGGCTGCGTCTCCAACTCGGTCGATATGAATAGACACTGAGATCTGACGACGCGTAGAAAGCAGCAAAGCCGGGAGAAATCGCGATCGCAGCCCCATACCCCAAGTTTCTGCGGCATCGTCTCGGGCTGGATCGATCCGTGAGGGCCCAAGGGGCCCGAAGCGGGGCGAAAGCGCCCGCCGTTTTTTTTTAGGGGGGGGGTGCGACGCTCAAAGCTGAGGGCCTGCCGCCGCCTCGCCCTCGTCTCGTCGGTTTGCTATCCTCTTCCGCCTCCTCTCGGGTCGGACGAAAGCAGGGGCCTCGAACAGGAAGGGTACGAAACCTGCTGCGTGCAGCTGGCTTCGGCTCCTCCGCCAGGCCCTTCCCTTGGTACCCGTCCGCCTCCGGCGCCGAGAGGCGCTGAGAAAACCAGCTGCATGCAGCTGATTCCCTAAACCACCCTTTGCTAT